GGAAGGAAGGAAGGAAGGAAGGAAGGAAGGAAGGAAGGAAGGAAGGAAGGGAGGAAGGGAGGGAGGAAGGAAGGGAGGAAGGGAGGGAGGGAGGGGAAGGCATCACTAATTTTTATCTGAAATTCCCATCCATCCAGTCACTCCTTAAGCCAGTATTTATTTAGCACTTTCCAATATGTAACCAGGCTTCAGACCCAGTTTCCATACACATTTTTATCTCACCCTTCCCACACAGTACTGCACTGCCCCATCCCCGACCATGCTACCCTACCTGCTGACCAATGCCCTTTTCTCACACTTTCTCCCAACTCCCAACTAACCTGAAATAGTTCCATCTCATTTACCCCTTAGAGCTAAAATCACTGTGTTCTAAGCCAAGGCACCACCTGTTATGTGTTCCTAAACTATCCCACATCATCTCTTTGTACAAATTAGCACAAACTTTCCATTTTCTCTAGCATTCTGTCTGCCGTTAAGGTCATACTTATAGGATGAACATGTACACCAACTTTAAGGAATGTCATCTGTTGAAATTAATGCAGTATACAACTTACCCAACAACTGCCCCAGTGGAGGTTATATTAAAGCGTCCATTTTACATATCCATTCTTATCTGTATGGTGTCTGCACCCCAGAGATCAGGCTAGGTGAACACTCATCCCACTGCTGACACAGAGAGGTTCTGCCAGTTCAGCAAGCATTCATTAAAATGCCTGGTCGCCTTTTCCAAATCCAATACTCATTGTTTCCTTTCTTCACCCTTCACTAATCTACAGGCTTCTTCAGAACAGAAACTCTTACTCACCTGCGCATCTCCAATGTCTAAGACTAGGGGAGGCATTCAAATTAATGCTGGTTGAAGGGATGAGTGGATGAATGGATGAATGGAGCCAGCTCTGAAGCTGATTAGCTCAGTTCCAAGTACACAGCTGGGGAAACAGGAAACGCCAAGTATTTTCTAATGCAGATTTTTTTAAAAAAAATATAAAAGTGTGACGGCATCAGCCTTCTAGAATACACAGATGGTAGAGGAGGGGATGGCTCAGCGGCTTCTCCTCTCGCCTCTGTTTCCTCTTGTGTAACCAGGTATTCTCTCTAGTGCTATTCAATAATGCTAATAGCCATAAATAACACAAATGGTTTAAATAGATGGCAAAAAAACACTCTTCTGTAGCAGCTGACAGATGTCAACTCATTTAATCTACTAAAAAAATAAAACAACCTGTGAATACTATTGCTGTTCCCAGGTTTAGATGGAAAAACTAGGTATATACAAGTAAACTGTTACCTAGAAAACAGAACTTCTGATATGGGCAATCAGGTTCCAGCATCCAACCCTAACTTACCTGCTGTTTTGATGGCTTGGTCTCAGACAGACACCTGAAAACTAAGAATCCTATCATTTGAGATCTTGCCCTGTTTTCCCATTCGGTTCCATCTATTCTGTCGCAGAAAACCTACCCCTAAAGCTGCTGGATTCTTTCACCCTTGCAAAGGCTACCAGAATGAATGAGAGGATGGTCAGCTCCTCTTGTGCTCTGAAAATTGTTTGGGTTGTTTATCAGCTAGGTGATAATGGCACATCAGTAGACTAGCTAGTTTGGAGGCTGAGGCAGGAGGATTGATTCCAGGGGTTCAAAGCTAACCTGAGCAACATGGTAAGTCCCTGTGTTTAAATAAAAAACAAACTTAAAACTGATACCGGAGACTTTTCTCTTCTGGTCCTGTTGGATCTGAGTCTGATCCCCAGATCTAGAGCCATGGGTCACATCAGTGGGCCATACTGTGCCATATTGGAAGTGGGTAAATGACTGTCCAGAGAGGCCTTTCTTTAATGGGTTTGCTAAGAATTCTCCACGGCTGATGCAGAGTCTCTGGAAGTTGTTTCCAAATTATAGAAGCAGGAAAAGCATCTGCATGGTCTCTTGGTCCATGGCAAGGTCTTTTCCATCCTATATGATCTCTGAAGGAGAGAACGTGCTGGCATGTCTTATAGGCTCTGTTATCAATACAACTCGTGTGACAATAGAAATGTATTATCTTCCACTCCCCTTTATCTATACTTTCATTTGCCTCCAGAGTGTTCTCTAGACAGCTAGAACTAAGTTTCATGTGTTGACATCTTCCCCTCAGAGGAGCTTTTTCAGAAGTGTTCCTGGTGAAACAGAGGGTGACCGGGAAGCTCTTTGCTCTGAAGTGCATCAAGAAGTCACCTGCCTTCCGGGACAGCAGCCTGGAGAATGAGATTGCTGTGTTGAAAAGGTGAGTGCTTGCTAAGGTGGGTCAGTGCAGCTGTGGGATCACGTGTCCTTCCCAAATGACCTTCAAGAAAAACAATGAGTCTGATTTCCACTTCTTTTGACTGAATTGATGAGTCAGTTAGTTTACCCAATCACCAAGTTTAGTCAGATACCCTCTGAATTTTCTCTCCCAGAACACTGACCAATGAAGCCACTGGTGGCAGAGCTGGTTTGTGTATGAAAGCCAGAGAATAATTAGCTCAAAGGAACAGAAGTCAGTTGATGGCTAACCTCAGGAAGAATCAATAATGAAGAAGACAGCACAAGACTTGGAAATGAGCCTTCATTTGATCCAAAGCTCATGTATGTTTAACACCACAGCCCTGGTGATCGAGACTACATTAACAAATCATAAAACGTTTACAGTGAGGTCTCCTGGGATGAACCAAAAGAATTGTAGGCACACTAACTCAGGGCTAGGACCAGAAAGCTAAGGCAAAATTCCTTACCCTCAGGAGCGACCATAACAAACTCTAACCTTCTCAGACAAGGTACAATAGCTGAAGGCAGAGTTCAGGGGCAACAGAGATTTATTTCACCTGTGTGTGTCTTGTGACTATGGGTTATTTGACACATTTTTCAGAGAAGAAAAGCCTTGATGAATGAGTAGAATTCTGTGGAGGCAAGAAGAACAACCTGGAGAGGGAATTCAGACCAAGAATAACAAACTTTCATGTAGAGTCATGGAAGGGCAAGGAGAAAAGTATTAGAAGTCCCTGTACTTAGAGAGAGGACGCTCAAGGGTCAGCATCTTCTATGCCATGCTATGGAATACGGTTATTCGGTGGGCAAAGAAGTCATCCAAGGATGTTAAGTAAGGAGTCCCATGATCAGATGAGTATTTTAAGTATGGTGAAGGATGGGATGGAAGAAAACAAATGTAGTAGGTGCAAGCTTTTCTTAATAATATAGGCATGGGCGAGGAAACAGATCCTATGGGGATCAGAAGATGGTATACAAAAGTATTTCAGAGAGAAAAGTCCTTAAGTCTGGTGTTAATCTGTAAGATTATAGGGGAAAAAATCACTAAACACATGGGCTGGGAAGGTGGCTCAGTGGTAGAGTGCTTGCCTTGCATGCCTGAGGCCCTGGGTTCGAGTCCTCAGTACCACATAAGCAGAAAGGAAAAAAAAAGCCGGAAATGGGGCTGTGGCTCACGTGGTAGAGCTCTAGCCTTCAGCTGAAGAGCTGAGGGACAGCACGCAGGCCGAGTTCAGGCCCCATGACCAGACCCCCCAAAAAATCATTAAACACGATTGTGAGAGTAAACAAATAAGTGTCCATTAAGTACAAAAATGTCTTAATGTTGGAGTATAGCTCAGTGGTAGAGCACTTGCCTAGTATGTGCAAGATCCTGTGAGAGAGAGAGAGAGAGAGAGAGAGAACCAAATAATACCATCACTTGGGATATAAAATGGGATGATTGGATCATATTGAATGTAGGCACCCACCTATCTTTACATGGAGTTGTCTAGTAGGATGATGGGAAAATAAATCTAGGCACTAGAAAGGTTAGGACAGAGAAAGGGGCTAAACTGATTGAGAGCAAAGACTATAGTTATTTTTGTTATCACTCTGTATCAACAGCATAGTTATTCAGCAAGTATTTGTTCAGTGAGTGACTGTTAAACAAGTTAACATTAGTATTGTCAGCTGATGAGTACAGTTGAGTTCATCAAGCAACCCTTGTAAGAGATCTGTATTTCTTAAATGTCTCTAGTTTGGATAGACAGTAATATAATATAATATAAATAATACTGATTATGTGTTTGCTATCCTTCTAGGTGCTAGACTAAGTACTTTCTCTTTGAATCCTGATATAACCCTGTGTAAAAGCAAAGTATTTTTCAGACAAGGCAAATGAGGCTTAGAAGATTTGAGAAAGCCAGCTAATGATAGTAAATACCTGAGCCAGCTCTGAACTCAGGCCCAACTGACTCAGAGTCTAAGTTGTTGTGTTCCGCAGCCATGCATAAAACTTCCTGGAGAGCTCCTCCTCTTGCAGGCATGCGAGAACTGCTGCCTGGAAAACCAAGCCTTTGGTGCATAGGATTGTTCTGCCTGACTCAGTCTCTAAGTGATCCCAGACATAGGTAACCTAGGGCAGAGTTTCTCAACCACAAAACACTACTGACATTTTGGACCAGACTATTCATCCTCTATTGCATTGGGGGCTACCCTATGCATGGATAGATTTTAAACAGCATTTTTGCCTCCACCTCCTGGATGTCAGATTATCAAATGTCCACTCATGGGCCAAGTAACCCCTAGTTGAGGATCACAGGAAGTAAGTTCCTCTATGTGTACTGAAAAGAGAGATAGTTAACCAAGGTCAGTCCTATCATAGTGAGTGTGTTTCACTCAATGTTTCTGAAAGATCAGGATACCCATTTTATACTATAAGCTACTCTCTTAGCCTGCCTCTCTCTCTCTCTCTCTCTCTCTCTCTCTCTCTGTATACTTTGCTGGTGATCAAGCCTTGTGCCCTAGCGAATGCTAAGTATATGATCTACCTTTGAGCTACATCTCTAGTTCTTCTTTCACTCATTAAAAAAGTTATTGTTATTATAAAGGCAATATGCAGAGGGTTACAGTTACATGTCAGATAAAGAATACATTGTTTTTTGAGCAATGCCACACCTTCTCTGTCTGTCTGTCTGTCTGTCTGTCTGTCTGTCTGTCTCTCTCTCGTTTCCTTGATGCTTTATCTTCCTCTTTTGATAAAGTTTATGATATCAATGAAATGGTTTCATTCCATGAAAGCAGGGAGATCAATTGTTCATTCAATAGATGTTAATGGAGTAGCTCCCTGGGGATCACTTCTCTGAGATTATTTGGTGACAGCCTCCTTGTTAGGGAGGTTTCCCAGGGACGTAGTCTTCTGAAACATTGCCAGCAGGCCGGATGCTGGTGGCTCCTGCCTGTAATCCTAGCTACTCATAAGGCTGAGATCTGAGGATCATAGTTGGAAGCTAGCCTAGGCAAGAAAACCCATGGGACTCTAATCTCCAATTAACTACCAAAAAGCTGGAAGTAGAGTTACAGATTGAGCAATAGAATTCTAGCCTTGAGCATAAAAACACAGGAATAACACCAAGAGTTCAAGCCCCCAAATGGCACAAAACAAAACATGTCTCCAGCAGAAATTTGTGACTGAGTCTGCAACCTTGTCTGGACCACCTGACCACATAGCTCTCACCATGTCACTTACTTTTTCTCCCCAGGATCAAACATGAAAACATTGTGACCTTGGAGGACATCTACGAGAGCACCACGCACTACTACCTGGTCATGCAGCTGTAAGTGGAGGGTGACCCGCCTCCTCTACACCTCCTCCACACAGGTCTGCAGAGGCCTGGGAGGCTCAGAGGATGTTGGTCAGTGGCAAAAAAAGGGTGGTGAGTTAAAGCTGGACACCGTGCCTTAGGCCTGTAATCCTAGCCACTTGAGAGACTGAGCTGGAGAGGACTGACGTTTGAGGCCAGCCCAGATATAAAGTTCACAAAGACTTGATCTCAACCAATAAAAAGCTCTGGCATAATGGTATGTGCCTGTCATTCCAGCTGTGCAAAAAGCAAAATTAGGAGGCTCGAGGTCCAGGCCAGCTCAAAAAATAACCAAAGCCAAAAATGGCCGAGGGCATGAATGGCATGGTAGAAAGCCTATCTAGCAAGCATAAAGCCCTGAGTTTCATCTCCAGTACTTTTCAAAAAGAATTACTTTAAGAGACACTGAAATACTGAGTCTCTAGGGTCAGACTGATTTAGAGACTGATTTATATACCAGTGCTAGATTACTACTTATGGGAATGTTTCCTTCAAAAAGAGGGTAGATATCTGTCAGTGCTCTTCCGATGCTCTCTTCCTCTCCCTTGGTTTTCTGAGATTTCCACACAACCCAGCAACAAGAATAAAGTCAGGCAGAGCATCAGTCACCCAAACCTTTCTCTAACACTCTAACTTGAGTCCCTTCGGACCAGTCCATGTCTGTCCATTGGATAATAAACACTTAACATCACCCCAGGGTCAAATGACTAGAGGAATGAAATCCACAGCTAGGCAGATTTAAGTTCAATATAAAAAAAGATTTTCTCAAAAGAGAGCCACTTGAATTTAAAAACAGCTGTGTGGGGTTTTATTAGAAAATTCTCTGCATCACCATCACCAGCTGCAACCAAGTAAGAGTTCTGGGTAACAGGGGCTGTTGTGTGGGTTTGCCAGCGCTCTTGAGAGGTCAGATTCACTTACCCTTCACTGTAGATATACATTTTTAGAGTATTTATAGAGCACACCATATACCCTTAGGTGCACACATATTCAACTCTGCCATCTTAGCACGGCTGGATGCAATATACTTTTTGACTCATAGGCTGATTCCTTGGAAAGTTGAATGCCTTAACTCAGGTTTAAGTAGTTGAATAACTCCTGGGCTCGCTGAGCCCAATAAAGAAGAGTAACCGAAAGTCAAAGGAGAGAGTTAGGCATGGAAAGACCCGTGTGGCCCTGACAATTTAACTGGGACCATGTGAAGCTTTGGAGGTCAATTCAAAGGATTACCATACCATCACTCAGAAGGCTGATGGTGGTTACTCAGGAGGCTGAGATCTGAGGATTGAGATTCAAAGCCAGCCTGGTAGAAAAGTCCATAAAGTTCTTATCTCTAATTAACCAGCCAAAAGCCAAAAGTGGAAGTGTGGCTCTAGTCCTCCAAAGAGCCACTCATAATCGGCTGTATAGAAAGAACATAATTCATGTGGTCCTCCTACTCCTATAGTAGAGTCCAGCGCTTAACGCAGAAACCAAGAGAAGAGGCTGCTGTGCCTTTGATTGGCTGGAGAAATTCCATTCCTTTGCCACCACTCCATGGAGGTATCCTGTGTGCATAGCCACGTTCTAATGTCATAGAAGAGTTGGGAACAGGAGACAGGATGAGAAGATTGTAAACCCTGGGTCATGGTTGAAACAGGCTGGAGATGTTCATCCCAGAGAAGAGAAGGAAGGCCTCAGGACAGCATTCTACTGGCTTTGCAGTAGATTTATGAAAAGACTTAGGAAACGATTCATGTTAAAGGATGTTTCTCTTGTTCTATTCAATGTTCGATGCCAGTAAATGGAATAGGTATGCACTAGAAGGAACTACAGAGCATCAGATTTCAATATAACATATAGAAATATGCTTAAATGCCCAAAGATAAAATAATCTGTGTCACAGAATGTAATGAAATCTCTGACACTTATGCATCCAGTACCAACTAGAAAATTTCTAGACAAAAATAGTATAGATGGTGTTCCAGTGGCGGGGAGTTAGACTTGATCATTAGCCTTCCCTAAGTCCTGAGATCCCATACCATTAAAGTCTCCAAACAGCCGAAGACCCTACTGTAATTCCAGCTTTAGATAGCCCAGTTTTCTAAAATGAGGGAAGAAACCCTAATATGAAGACAGTTCATCTCATTTTCACACCTCTTTCTGTGCCCAAGTGAAATAGACTGTTTTATTGGGATTTCCTGTGTCCTAGGACAGAAAGGAAAACTGCTTTCAAACAAAAAAGCTTGGTACCAGTGGCTCATGCCTGTAATCCTAGCTTATTCAGGCTGAGAAAGTAGGCAAGTGTCTTAGCTCCAATTAGTCACCAGAAACCTGGAAGTGTGCTGTGGCTCAAAGTGGTAAAGCACTAGCCTTAAGCAAAAAGAGCACAGGGACAGTGCCCAGGCCCTGAGTTAAAGCCCCAGGACACTCTCTCTCTCTCTCTCTCTCTCTCTCTCACACACACACACACACACACACACACACACAAAGTTCACAATAAGGGATTATTGACTCCTCATATAAACCCAACCAGGGACACTTGAATTTTAAAGTAAGTTTCTAGAGAGAAGTCAATGCTTGGATCAAAGAAATGATATTGGCCTAGTGGTATCATTTTAGGCACCCAGAGGAAGTGTTCTAAGTCAGAAATGGTTCTCCCTACGCCCTTTGTAGTTGATGGGCAGTTGCCTGTTCCAATACAGCTGTACTTCACCTGGCTACAAAAGTAGACACATTTGCATTCCTTTCACCTGAAATAAGAGCTAGATTCTTACTCTTGCCCCTGTGCCCACAGCGTTTCTGGAGGGGAGCTCTTCGACCGGATCCTGGAACGAGGCGTCTACACAGAGAAGGATGCCAGCCTGGTGATCCAGCAGGTCTTGTCAGCAGTGAAGTACCTTCATGAGAATGGCATCGTCCACAGAGACTTAAAGGTGTCAAGCTGGGAGGGCTCAGTGGGAAACAGACAAAGTCTCCTCAGCTACGTGGATCACAGGAAATCGAGCTCTAAAATGAGAAGACGGGATGAGTTGGACTTCCAAGTCCTCTTCATCTCTTCATTCCTTAAATAAACCTCAGGTGTCTGTTCATTTGAACATAACTGTTCATTTGAACTTCAGTCTTCTCTTCATTCCTTAAATAAACCGTAGGTGGCTAAGTAATAACTGTTCATTTGAACTTCAGTCTTTTCCTGAACCTTTCACTGTCAATGGGATGTCAAAATACACATTAGCCAAAATCAAGTTTAACAGATTATTCATCAAGGATCTGTAGGGTCCCAGGCATTGCAACAGGCTTAGATGAGATCAGAGATAATTAGCCCAGGGTTGATTCCACCAAATATTCTAGGAAAGTTGAGAGGGAAGAGGAAAGGGACTGAGAAAAGTCCATAAATAAAATAAAGTTCTGAGGTGAAGGAGTAAAGATAGAGAGAGGGGGAAGGAAGGAAGGAAGGAAGGGAGGGAGGGAGGGAGGGAGGGAGGGAGGGAGGGAGGGAGGGAGGGAATGAGGGAGGGAGGGAAACATACATGGGGAAAGATGAACTTGGCCTTGGAGTTAGGAGCCTAGGGCTCAGCTCCCGAAGAGATTATATATATATATATATATATATATATATGAGTTAGAAAATGTTCTGTGCTTTAGATGATCAAGTCTTATACTCTGTATTTCATTCTCCTATAGCCTGAGAACCTTCTATACCTCACCCCGGAAGAGAATTCAAAGATCATGATCACAGACTTTGGTCTGTCAAAGATGGAGCAGAGTGGTGTCATGTCCACAGCCTGTGGGACCCCTGGCTATGTGGGTAAGTCTGGGCGTGGTGGGGAGGTTGACTAGCAGACTGTGTTCAATCCCATGGTTGAAATTCAAGAGAGGGGTGATTGTACAGAGACAGAGTTTAATTTCAGAGGTTATGCAGGCATAACTTTCACTTAGGATCTTAAGGCCAGCCAATTCATCTACACTGGAACTATCCCTACGGCTTTGAAATCCTCCTACATCCTTAAAAACAAGCTGCTCCTTCCCGCAGTCTCCAGACATTCTTTACTGCTATTTCCAAAGACACTTCCTTCCAGAGATAAGATCACAACCCCAGAAGTCAGTAGAGAGCTAAAGGGTTGAACACCAGCTCCTTCTCCTTCATCCCACTCTAGAAGAAACTTTTTAGGTACCTGGATACACAAAGTATTGAGTTTATGCCTAAGAAACCCAGATATGGGCCCCTGAATATATACCTAGGAAGCAATCCAGGAACTGGCAAAGATGGAGTATCCTGCCTGAACAGCCCTGTAGCATTCCAGGATTCCCAAAAAGGTGAGAGAAGACAGGGTACTAGTGAGAGCATCCCTGTCCTCAATGCAACACCTGTTTGGAGTCAGGAAGTGGAAAGCAGAGCCCTAACTTAGAAAGGGAATCTATACTCTTCCTAGAAAGGAAAAGTCAGTTGCTCCCTGGAAGACACAGCGTACCACCGGGTAGAAAGCTATTGCATCTGGGATCAACAGGAGGGATCCCAATCAGAGGAAGACATGCTACCTGTCATCATAACCTTCTCAAGCAGATAGGAGCAGACTAAATATCTGCCTTTACCAAGTACCCATAGTCTGATGGCAAAGTTACTGCCTACTCTTGGAGCATCCTAACCAAAAGAGAAAATGAGAGCCTGCCTGGTAGAGTGTGAAGGAACATGCAGCTCTTTTTCACAGAGTACTCAGTCTGATGGGGAAATTGGTGCTCTAGAGACCTCCAGTATAATGGAAGAGTGATATAGACTTGACTGACACAGTAAACTTGTTTGATGGAGAATTCATTATCACAATAAGATGTATTCATACGGGTGTAACGCAGCCTGTCACTGGGAGTTTTCAGTCTCATGGAAAACTCCACTCTCCCCTGGGCTACATTTATCCACCTCTCTAAGCCTCTTCCTGGCCTTCAGCCCCACCCCATAGCCCTCTTCTCTTGCCCCCAGCCTTGACTCTGCCATTGGTTTGCTGCAGCTCCGGAAGTGCTGGCCCAGAAACCCTACAGCAAGGCTGTGGATTGCTGGTCCATTGGCGTCATCACCTACATATTGTGAGTAGAAACTGGCATTGGCTCAGTCCCTGAAAAGTCTCAGGGCCTGCTTGCCCTTTCTTCCTCTCTGTCCTGTCTCAGATCCCCCTACCCATCACAAATGCAGACATGCACACACATACATGAGCTTAGTTAGGCTGATAACTCCAAGGTTTCCCCTGTCCTGATCTCCAGCAAGTGATACAAATACAGCCCAGCGTGTACCAACCCACGGATTAGACACCTGACTTTCCCCTCTCTGTGCCATATATAAATGTACTGAGTCCCACTGGATGAGACCAGCAAGGAAAAAAAGAGACCAAGCTAGACTTGGATCACACGTAGACCTAATTCTCCTCAACCTCAGCCTTCTCCCGTGGCACCCAAGGTAGATATGGTCTGTATGAAGCTGGTCAGATTCTCTTTTACTCCCCTATGCTTTCTTGAGCTCTTCTCTTTCTTCACCTGTTTATCACCTCTTCTCTACTGTCCTTCCTCACCTGCAAAAACAACAACAACAACAACTTTGCTCCTTAGGAAAATAACCTCCCTGCTATTAATCTCTCAGTATGGATTTGACTCTCTTTCTCCCATTTCTGCTGAATAATTACTCTCATTCATTCCTTTACTCAACAATCCTTGGGCTAGGTGCTAACGAATAGGGCACTGAACAAAAGGACAGAGCCTGAATATATCTCTTGTGAAACTTACATTCAGGTAGACAGTTACTGCACATTCTGAAAGGTATTTTGTACAGAGCAGGGAAAAGTCTGAGGAAGTACAAGGAGAGGTGACAAGGGTTTGGAGGGAATGCCATTCAGTCTTCGGCGCCTACACATACTCTTGGGATGATGCTTATTATTATTATTATTATTACAATTTTTAACTTTAAGTTTTTATTTTTTTGTTTTTATTTAGTTAGTTATTTATTTTTGTTGGTCATGGGGCCTGAACTCTGGCCTGAGTGCTAGCCCTTAGCTCTTCAGCAAAAGGCTGGCGCTCTACCACTTGAGCTATGGTGCCACTTCCAGCTTTTTTCTGCTTATGTGATGCTGAGGAATCGAACCCAGGGCCTCGTGCATGCGAGGCAAGCACTCTACCACTGAGCCACCTTCCCAGCCCTAGCATTAAGTCTTTATGATCTTTAAGTAGTTGTACAAAGGGGTTTCAATTCTCCCTGTCAGTTTATAAGTAAAGTGCATCCTGATCAGTATCACCTCTTCCATTACTCTCCCTCATCTCTCCCATCACCAACCATCCCTCAGGTTACCTCATTCCATTTTCATGTACATACATTGAATATTATGACTGTTTTCACCCCACCTTCCTCCCTCCTTTTCTCTTGCCCCTTTCCCTTAGATCCCATGCTCCCCACCTCTTTCCCCCACACACACACACAACAAAACATGCTTTAGAGTCCTGGTATTCATTTTGTTATTATAAGCTAGTTGTTCAAAGGAGCTACACTATTAGAATCCTCCCCTAAGTATAGCATATTTTAGCCAATTTCTTTTTTTTGGGGGGTGGGGTCCGGTTGTGGGGCCTGAACTCTGGGCCTGGGCGCTGTCCCTCAGCTCTTCAGCTCAAGGCTAGCGCTCTACCACTTGAGCCACAGCGCCACTTCCGGCTTTTTTCTTTTTGCTTATGTGGTGCTGAGGAATCGAACCGAGGGCCTTATGCATGCAAGGCAAGTGCTCTACCACTGAGCCACCTTCCCAGCCCCAGCCAATTTCTTCATGCATGAATTTAGATTACCTCTATATGTTTTTCACATATATGTTCATGATTTAAACCTAACTTCCACATGAGAGAAGACATTTGCCATCTGTCTCTCTGACCATGACTTATTTTACCTAACATCATCCATTTTTTTCCCAGGCCCATCCATTCTCCTACAAAGGACATAATGTTATGATGAGTAAAACTGACTCCATAGAGATCACCTTTTCTTCACCCACTCATCCATTTTAGGGCATCTGGGCTGTTTCCACACCTTGGCTAGGTTGAATAGTGCAGCAGTGAACATGGGTGCCTTGCACATACTCTTCATGAGACCTCAACCATCCCTGAATCAGAGACACATCCTGGTCACCTTGTGGGTGTAGGACCCTCCCTGTTCACCTGTGTACGCAGTGGGAGGCTGGGCAAAGAAGGGAAGCCTACCCAGCAGCATGCCTCCTCCTGTCCCCCTGCAGGCTGTGTGGGTACCCTCCTTTCTATGAAGAAACCGAGTCTAAGCTTTTTGAGAAGATCAAAGAAGGCTACTATGAGTTTGAGTCTCCATTCTGGGATGACATTTCTGAGTCAGGTAAGGCCAGTGGAGGTGACGGTCAAGGTCACAGGCTCAAGGCAGAGGCTGCCAAGAGAAAAATCTCTTAGCAAAGGATGACAGTCTTGACTCTTGGAAGTCCCTGGGAATCTTAACAGGACAGCTTCCAGGAGAAATAGATACATTTTCATCTGGTTCAAAGGCCAGAGAGAAACATTTGGATGCTCTTGTTTCCCTAGAGGCAGAACCCTTCTGTGCCTAGGGACAGAGGTGGCAGAGGGATGGAGCTTAGCTGAAAAGCCAGGCAAGCAGAGCCTGGTGGAAAGAAGGATTCCAGGCAGGAGTGGCAAAACAAGGGCTTAGCTTTCAGGACAGAACACCATGTCCGCGTGAAGAAAATCACACATGCCTATTGGACTTCTTATGTAGAGATTAGGGCCAGCGCTCACATGCGAACCCACATGCCGATGTTGGCCCATATATCAGCACAAACACACACACACACACACACACACACACGCAGGGTGTGCGGGCACACTGGTGCCTCGTGACTCCTGTGATTTCCACGACGCTGCGTGGGTAAGGCTGTGCAGAGCCTCGGTTCTTGGGTGGCTTATGGTGGGTTGCTGTAAAGCGGTTTGGAGTTCTTTTTTCTCTCTCTCTCTCTTTCTCTAAGACTCTTAAAATTACCTCCTTGGAAGATTAGCTAAAGATGTATTCACAGCCACCCACCAGCCCGGAAGTGAATTTCCATCAGTCGTGAAATTTGGTCCTTAGTTGTCATGTCTTTGCTTGTTCCCCTTAGCTAAAGATTTCATTTGCCACTTGCTAGAAAAGGACCCAAACGAGCGGTACACCTGTGACAAGGCCCTGAGGCACCCCTGGTGAGTGAAAAATGGGGTGGGTCCTAAGCACTGAGCCTGGGTCCCCAGAGCCACTCCAAGTCACTCACAGAGCTATTTCCTAGCACTGCTAGTCCTGAGCCAGTGACGACTGTGACATTCAAGGGACTCACAGTTGCTCCTCAGAGCCTCCTGGAGATACAGACATCTCTAGAACTGAGTCCAGAGGACCTGACCTCCCACTGGCAGCTGACGGGACCAGTCAGTACCAGAGGCTGTCATTCAGAACTGGGTGGCATGGTGCCACACTGAAACTAGTTACTCAGCAGGCAGCCCTCTTCTGTTCTTAAGAACCTCCTGTTACTAAGAGCAAAACCTGTTCCATGGGAAGGGTTTTAAGCACAATCACAGTCAGTCAATTGGTCCAACAGGCAAAGAGCTCTTGAAACACTTACCTGAGAATCTCCCTTACCTGAGAATCTGCAAAAGCTCCCCACTTTTTTTTTTACCACAGCAAACAAGATTCCTTTTTCTCTCCGGGTTTTGCCTAATCTGTTCTGGCCCTTTCACTCCAGCAGTATTTCCAAAGATTTTCAACACATTTTCTATATTACAGACAGATCTAAGAACTACATCTCTATGCCCTCCATCCCATAAACCAAGCTCTTTCCTAACTATCCCGTGAACCACTGAGAAGGTCCTGCCTCTAATTTAGGATCCAGGTCCCCTTCCCTAGAGCCCCTGAAACCCACACTTCCCATGCCAAACTCACCATTTCTCGATTAATCACCAGATCACTGTCCATCTTTCTAACCCATAGGGTGAAACTCCACATACCCAGATTATAGTTTCCTAGGGATCAGGGACCAGGGCTCTCATTACTAGTTAGCTGTTCCAGGATTGTGGGCATGGCACATGTTTGAGGAACACTTAGCAGCTGGTAACTAAGAGGCTAAAGGAAAGGAAAGAGGGGCAGCTGTATCTGATGGAATCCAGGAGAGGCTAACTTCCAAGCAAGGTTTTGAACCAAAGTGATAATATGATGCCTGGTGATGCAGGGATCTGTAAACTTTTACTATAATGGCTCAACTAGTTAATAGTTGAGGTTTTGCTGGCCATACTAGCTCTGTGGTACTGACTCAGCCCTGCTGAGTAGCACAAAAGCAGCCATAACCCCTGAGTGAATGCACAGGAGGTATCCTAGTGAAATATTACTTATAAAGGCAAGCCATGGGGTGGGGGCCAGGGGCGTGGCTCAAGCGATAGAGCACTTGTCGAGTAAGTATGCAGCCTTGGGTTCAATCCCCAGTAAGGAGACAATAGGCAGATTCGTTTCCCAGGCTACAGTTTGCTCTAAAAGAACTTTTTCCAACACTTAAGCCCTCTTCTGGTATGCCTGGGGAGGGATATGGAGCACTATGCTTTCCCGCTGTCTCCTATTACAAGGAATAGGACAGGTTTGGACATGGGCCTCGATGCCCAGAGCCCTGTCCACCCCCCTGGCTGAGTGTCCACAGCCACTCCAAAGCCAGGGTCTCTTTTCTCACACACAGGATCGATGGGAACACGGCCCTCCACCGGGATATCTACCCATCCGTCAGCCTCCAGATCCAAAAGAACTTTGCCAAGAGCAAGTGGAGGGTGAGTTATGGTCTCCTGGGCTGGGTGGGTTGAGAGGCTGGAATGTGGCGGGGCAGGTGGGGAGGCCTCCCCAGGCATCCCCTCCCACTCCTGGTCCCTCTCTGAAATGAGCAGTGGGCAGGGCACCTGGGGGCTGCCGAGGCCATACCTGCTCTCGCTGTCTCCTCAGCAAGCCTTCAATGCGGCAGCCGTGGTACACCACATGAGGAAGCTGCACATGAGCCTGCACAGCCCCGGTGCCCGGCCAGAGGTGGAGAACAGGCCTCCGGCGCCCCCGGCCTCAGAAGACTCTAGAGCCAGCTCCCCAGAGATCACCATCACAGAAGCCCCCGTCCTGGATCCCAGCGTGTCCTCTGCATTACCCAGGATGCCCTGCCAGAAAGGCCTCCAGCCCGCCGCCCCCGGGGGCAGGTCCCTCAACTGCCTGGTCAATGGCTCCCTGCGTATCAGCAGCAGCCTGGTGCCCATGCATCAGGGGCCGCTGGCCACAGGCCCCTGTGGCTGCTGTTCCAGCTGCCTGAGTATTGGGAACAAAGGAAAGTCCTCCTACTGCTCCGAGCCCACGCTCCTCAAGAAGGCCAACAAAAAACAGTACGTATTTCCTGGCAAAGACAAAGCCCTATCCCCACTCTACCTGATCTGAAGGAACTCAGGCAAGGGACAGAGGCAATTTTTTTTTAAAGGTCCCTCTCAGGCAGGTCTAAGGGTGCAAAGAAGTCTAGACTGGTGGCAAGGGAAAGACTTCTGATCCTGTCCCTAACACTTGTTAGCTCAAGATAACTCAGTGTCTGTCTCCGCTTCTGCTTTAGCCATCAGTACAATGGGTCCATGAAAGGACCCTTTCCTGCTCAGCCCGCCGAGGTAGTATAAAAGTTCAGTGAAGCAACAGAGATGATAAAATCCCACACACACTGGGTGTATATGAGTGGCAAGCATTAGACCCAAGTGTCTAAGTCCTCCCTGTTTGGGAGAGGTGGGGAGTAGGGGACCCTAATGTCTCATGTGTTTCTAGAGGAGCTTGTACTTGCTGAATGTCAGAAAGAAAAAGCTGAGTGGACGTCATTGATAGAGAAAGCGTTTGCCCTCTCCCCCCCCCCCACCACCCCAGCCTTTCTTTCTTCCTCAAATATGTTAAGACCATTGCCCGGTCTCCTTTCCAGGAACTTCAAATCAGAGGTCATGGTGCCAGTTAAAGCTGGAGGTAGCTCCCACTGCCGGACAGGGCAGACAGGGGTCTGTCTCATTATGTGATCGCGGGAGCTCGTGTCTGTGTCTCTGCAGTTTTTCAGGTGAGGATAAAGGGCACAAGGCCAGGATACTGGGCTCAGAGCAACTTCCATCCCAGAAAGAAAGCCCAATCCCATAATGATGGGATGAAAGGACTGAGATAGAAACCCCACCATCATCTGGACCACTTTCCTTTGTAGGAGACATGTCCGACTCTTCTCTGCCCTTCCAACCCTGGCATCTACCCTGAAGAGGGAGGATGGGGAGCCATGGAGCAGGGCGTGGCAGGAGCGGGTTCTGGTCAGAAACAGCAGCCGGATGTCACCTGGGTCAGATGTCCACAGAAGTGCGGGAGGAAGCCCCAAGGCCTGGAGGGTCCTTGAAGCTATGGGCAGGAGGAAAAGCAGCTGCTGGGTTCCAGGTCTCCCTGACCTGCCTGTTCTATGGCCCTATACCCTACGTGTGTTGTGGCTCCATGCAGTGTCTGTAGATAGCGCTCACCTGGGTCTGTGTTGTTTGTTGTGAAAAGCTTAGTGGGCTGGCCAGGCTGCACCAACTTCTCCAAGCAAAGCCATATGGAGGCCTCAAGACCCCCCGCTCTGCACACACTCACTCCTCTGCCTCTCTGGCCTCTGGCCTCTTGGCCAGACTGAACCCACTATTGTAGTTGCCTGTCCATCTGCATGAACGCTAGGCAGCTTCTGGGATCTGCCTGGGAAAGCTCAAAGCTCTAATCCTTCCCTCCAGGATTAGTTCCCAACTGCACCAAGACCCAGCCAGCCCATTCCCAGAACACTGTGGATCCCTCCTCCCTGCTGCACCCAAAAGCGGTGTCACAACCTCCAAGGTGGAAACAGAAGGAAATCCATAACTAGGGACCATCAGGATTTCTTATTGTGCCACATGGTCCTCCTCACCCCTTAATTAATTATACTAGAGACTATTTTCATTCCAGCCAGGAATTCTACTCCTGTCTCGGCCTCCCTTCCCATGCTCCACTGAAGGTCAAGTTCATCGCTCTTGTCCTTCCCTGTGTTCCTACCCTCACCTTCTCCAGCTTCCTGCTCAGTGTTGTGATCAATAAAATGGACATATTTTTCTCTACATCGCTTCAATTGGTTCTTTCAGAGTCAGAAGCAACTTAGCACATCTCAAGGACAGCCTGAGGTCAGCCAGAATGAGCAACAGTAGCTGACCCGTATGTGTCAGAACACGTATGTGCTGGGCACCTACAATGTGCTGAACACTTAGAGGTGTGAGTTTCCTAATTCAGGACCTTTTGGAGTAGGTTCTGTGGAGCCCAGCCAACTTACTCCAGCAACCATTCTCTTCATGACTGTATTAGAAAACCGGCTCTGGCCTCACCTGCCACCTCTGTTACCTTGGGTAAGCGGTGTCTGTATCATGAGATGATGCAGGTGCTATACCTAACACTGTGCTCAATAAATAATAACTAATAATGATGAAGAAGTTAATGTAGGTTGGAAGTTCCAGCCACATCGGTAAGCCTAGCACTCGGGAGGCGAAAGCAAAAGGAATTCAAGGCCAACCTGGGCCATGTGGACCCTGTCTCAAACTACAACAACAAAAGCTGATGTAGATAAAGTGTCAATCCTAGCACCTGGGCCATTGTTAGCACATAAATGTTACTATTACTCCACATTTGCTCACCTACACAAAAACACACATTCATTTACAACTTCTCTTTGAGAGCCCAAGAGATGTAGCTAGCTCTACTCTCAGTCCCGTCTATAAGACAGATAAAATGGCCCAATCTTCCCCAAGAGTGGATCATGGTTAACTACTGTTAATGATAGGCCTTTATTGTAAATGCTTCTTTAATGCTTAATTTTCCTTCAAATAAGCTATATTCCCTGAAAGGCAGGCTAGGTGATTTAATTCCCCAGCTGACAATTGCTAGATCCTTCCCTGATATCCAGCTGTCTTGAGTAGAGGACTACCAGCCAAGCAGCCCCTCTCCACAGCTGGGGCTGGCCCAATGGCAGCCTGGCTGCTTTATACATTCCATGAATACCTTGAAGAAGCAACACTGCAAACACAGATGCTTGCTACCAAAGCACGGCTCCACTTTTCCATGTCAACCAGGAGACAACATCCTGGTCTTACCAGCCCCCCAACAGGCTTCATTCCAGTGGTCTTTCTTTACCTACTTTTGATTCTTGTCATTAGTAGAGCAGGCTGAGCTGGCAACACAAAGAGCAGATGGCTCTGGTGACATCAGCAGTAATAGCAGCAAAAGGACAGTGTAAGAGTTTCTACTCCCCATGGAGCAGACAGTGAAGGTAACAAGGAACAGCAGAAGTCAAGAGAGATAAGGAAGAGTGGAGAGCCAAGGCTGATGAAAAAATAGAAGGCTGTGCAAAGCAAGAAGCAAGAAACTGCAGGCTAGAAGAGTTCTAGGAATCTGCCAAACCTTAAAGGTCATGGATCCCAATACTCTGGCCCAAGAGCTAGAACAGTAGCTGCTAAGTGTTAGAAGTTACTATAGAATCTAAAACCTGATGCTTGAACCTGCTGTCTGCTGCTGCTGCTCACCAGGGCTAGAAGCCAGGATGAAAAGAGCTGTCGAATGCTGGTGGCTAACGTATGGAACAAAAAGCCTAAAACCAGTGCTTGAGAGATAAGTCTCTTGCTTCTAGAGCTAGGAGCGATAGGCCGTTAATTCTCCAGGCTTAGGGCTGTAAACCTCTGGGTCTGCCAGTCTAACGTTTAGGCCTGGAGATTGCCAACTAGAAGAGCTTCACCTTGCCTACCATGATGTTATCTATCACGATCACCAGAAAGAGAGAAGAAGAACAAAACGATCCAACCAGCTGACAGGCAACACCTTTGGGAACTCTATAAATCTGAACACATTACTTTCTTCTTTGGATTTCTAGTTCCTTCTCTGTAAATCAGAAGCTGGACTGATGTTCCAAAGGGAAAATTGTTCCTCTAGTTTCTCATGGAAGGAATCAAGCCAGACCATGTGATAGGGCAACCTAAGGGGTTGAGCTCATAGGAACGCCACATGGGAGGTGGAAATGGTGAGGAAGGTTCATGTGATAGGGAGACCCCCTTTCTTTGATCTTCCACGTTTCTTTCCAAAGGTTTTTATTGGGTTTTCGATTTGCACCTCACTTTTTGTTAAGTGTTTGTATTGGTCCAGGATTCAGTCACAATGGAGGACAAGGGGTGGGGCCATTGCCCAGTTCAGCTGTTCCTGGCTGGAGAACTCCCAGCCATAATGACACCCCCACCCCCAGCATCTCTGTCCCTGAAATGCGGCAGTCCTGTCAGCGCAGCCACTGCCCTAGCCCACGGTGATCCTACAGCTGCACACCCAGGGTAGTGCCGATCAGGCTGGAGGTGGCATCGGAGTCTCCTGGAGCCAAACCTGCCCCCTCAGAAGCAACCGGGGCAGCGGGAGGGAGGTTGATGAGTGGGGTGGGAGGAGGCTGGAGCTGGAGAATCACTTGCAGGTGGCATAGTAGAGGACACGCCCATTGATATGGTCACGGATCTGCTCCACACGTTTCTCCAGCCCCGTCAGGCGCGCCGAGTGCAGCACGATGTCCTGGCTCCCAGTCAGCAGCTCCGACTCCATGTCTGAGACAAGAGGGAACAGCCAGGAAGGGAGGAGTAAATAGCGACCCCTAAAGATTCCTCCCCCCCTTCCTGCCCCTTCCCCTCCCCAAGGGACCACCCGCAAGAGAATCCCTCTGAGAGGAGTGTGCTCAGAAGGCAGGGGCCTCTCCAGCCGCATTTCAGCCTTTATCCCTTTCTTGGGGGACCCAAGAGCCCCCACTCCTACTATTTCCCTCACCTCTGCTCCTCTCTTCTGCTCTAGGCAGTCTTAGTTATACCAGGTACATAGGGAGTAGGTTATTGTCACCAAGATGAGCAGCCCAATACTGCTGGACCCAGAGAGCTGCCATCCTACAAATGACCCTCATATAGGCCAGGTCTCCCCAAAGCTAGTCCAGTAGCCAGAATCCTTCCCTACTTTCTCCTCTCTGAAATGCTACTTCCAATAGTCTTTCCCTGGTTCATTGCAGATACCATCTCCATGTTGGAAGGACACCAAAGCAATCCAGGCCAGCCAACACCCATTAAGGGTAGCCTGAAAGATCTCCAGGAATAGGCAGGAATACGCACTACCATACAAGGCTCTAACTTTTGTTAACTCTGGTTATTGAAAGTCATTTTCTAGCCAGGTGCTGTGCTCACACTTGAAATCCTAACTACTTGGGAGGCAGAGATTAGCAGGATTACACTATGAAGCCAGTCTGGTGCATTATATATACATATCTAGAGAGAGAGAGTCAGTCATGGGGTTTGAACTCTGGGCCTGGGTATTGTTCCTCAGCTCTTCAGCTCAAGGCTAGTGCTCTACCACTTGAGCCACAAAGCCACTTCCAGTTTTCTGGTGGTTTTTTATTGGAGATAAGAGTCTTACATGGGGCTGGGAAGGTGGCTCAGTGGTAGAGCGCTTGCCTTGCATGCATGAGGTCATGGGTTCGATTCCTCAGCACCACATAAGCAAAAAGGAAAAAAAGGGTCTGGGAAGGTGGCTCAGTGGTAGAGTGCTTGCCTTGCATGCCTAAGGCCCTGGGTTCGATTCCTCAGCACCACATAAGTAAAAAGAAAAAACCCAGAAGTGGCACTGTGGCTCAAGTGGTAGAGCGCTAGCCTTGAGCTGAAGAGCTGAGGGACAGCACCCAGGCCCAGAGTTCAGGCCCCACGACTAGAACCAAAAAAAATAGAGTCTCACAGACTTTGCTGCCTGGGCTGGCTTTGAACTCGATCCTCATATCTCAGCCTCCTGAGTTGCTAGGATTACAGGCATGAGCCACCAGCACCCAGCTCAGTCTGGTTATATTTAATGAAGTAGCCATCTTTACACAAGCCAGGCACAACGGCATGTTATTGTCATCAGCTATGTGGGAAGCATAAGTTAAGAGGATTGTGGTCCAGGTTGGCCCCAGCAAAAACACAAGACCCTGTCTGGAAAATAACTAAAGCAAGAAAGGTTAGGGATATGGCTCAAATGATAAAGCCCCTTCCTAATAAGCACAAAGCGCAGAAACAGTCATCTTCTCTTGAAGCCAAATAGTGAGTCTTCCTTCCACCCACACAATTGTCCAGGTCTGTGTTCTGGGGTTACAGAAACAGATCTGGTTTATTCCCACATGTCAGACTTGCACATCTTTCTGGCTTTATT